TTGTTTTTTTTCCGGTATCAGGAATCGAACTCACGACCTTGTGCTTGCCAGGCAGGCACTATGCCGCTGAGCTAAATCCCCAGCCCCTACCACACACTCTTAATCCCAGTATCATACACGCTAGCTCAGCCAGCTCTGAAAAGCCCCATCTATGAGTGCATGAGGCTTTGGGGAGATATCTAGGTATAAGACATAATAAGGGGGATAGTGAAAACCTCAATTTATAGCCAGTAAATAGCACAGGTCGCAACTTGTATTTGTGGGACTGAGCCCTTAACCTGTGAGATCTAACACTATCTCCAAGTAGATAGTGTTGGAGCTTGAGTTGAACTATAGTACCACTTGGTCCTGCAACAATACCCAGTTGGTGTGTGCTGCCCCCCAAAAAAAGTCTGGACCCAGAAGAGTTCAGTGTTGAATGTAAGTAAAGAGGAAAAAATTTTCTTTTCCATTGCTGTTTGTGTTTTCCACCAACTACCCCCTTAAGTATTCCTTCTAGGGAGTGTAGCCTGGGCAGCAAGAATCAAAAGCTTAAAGTCAACAGTTCTTGTGCTTTTGCGAAATCTAAATTCATGAGTAATTGACCTAGATAGGTAAGAGGAGAAAGGAAGAAAAGGCTGTGAGAAGTTAGAGACATATGTTCTGAGGCCATGTAACAGGAAAGGAGTATATGCCCTCAGACAGAGACAAGACCTCAAGGGAAATAAACGACACTCATAACTGTAATCGTAAGTATAAATACTTAACAAAGCATACACTTTCAGAAACTATATGAAGTCCTAATCCTTAAAGTAATGTTACAAGTAGAGACTATCATTATCCTCCTTTCACAGATGGAGAAACTGAGGCCTGGAGTAATTAAATGACTCCTAGTTAATCAAGCTCAGTAATTTCCTAGTAAACAGAGCCAGGATTTACACCCAGGCAATTTGGCTCCAAGAGCTCATCCTTTAACCGTTACACTGTATTGCCTAATGTAGTTGTAAAAGACCCAGAATAGGCAAAAAGTTTCCCAAAGTTCCCCCATATCCCAGATGTGCACAATAAGCATTGATCATCTCTGCTGTGGTGCCAACAGGCATCTTACTGGCCAAAGGCAATAGGTGACCTAGGCTCTTCTGGAGCCTAGGTCCTTAGCATAAACCTCAGGAAGGGACTCCTTCCCCCAGTAGCCACTAAGGTAATAAACCAAAGAAATGGGGAACTCAGAGAATCATATTGATGTATAGAGAAAAAAATAGATTGGGCTGTCTGCTTTAAATCCTGACTCTGCCATTGGTACAGCTTCAATTCACACCCTCTAAATCTCAGATGTTGCCAGTGTGGAAATATTAAGAAGCAGAGCCCGTAAACGGTGATTAGGCCATGAAGGCTCCTTCTTCATGAATGCTGTTAAGCAACTTCTATAAGAGACTTCACACAAGCTTCAGCTAGCTTGCTCTTCCACCTTCTGTCATGCGAGGACACAGGAAGAAGCCCCTCACCAGGTGTCAGCACCATGATCGTGGACTTCCCTGCCTCCAGAACTATGAAAACAAATTTCTCTTCATGTATTACCCAGTTTCAGGTATTCTGTTATAGCAGCACAAGCAAAGACAACCACTTATTTTCTATTTCTGGCTTAGTTTCTGTCATCATCTGTAAAATGGAGATAATAATGGTTCACCTGCCTTATAGTATTCTGTGTACATTAAATGAGTTAGTACTCGTAAGGCACTTGGGACAGTCCCTGGCACCTTAGTAAGCTTACATAAGTGTTACCTAGTATTATTATTATCACATACATCCAATCTGAGCTAAAAACAATATCTACCACACCTTTATCACCATTTGTAATTATAGTTTGTTTGTATGGTTATGCTCCTTCCTGATGCTTCCTCTAACCATCTATGCATTCCACACTGAATTGGCCTGGCTGACTCTAGGCTTCTCCTATTTACCAAAGTACTCAGGATAACTTTGCTTTCCTTTATCAAGAAGAGTCCAGTCTTTCCTGAAATGTATTTGTACATGTATAAGAGAAAAATGGGAGACTGTGGAGGTCTGTATATAGATTGCAATAACTTTTTTTCAGTGAGTCAAGAATTTAATCATGACACCAGAGAATTTTCCAGTTAAGGTCCCAACAAGAAGATAGGTGAATACATCTAATATGGAAACTTTCCAGAATTACAGAACAAAAAAGGTATATTAGCAACTGATAAATATAATTATCCTAAAGAGATCCAATGCATCGTCTTTTCTTTCTGACAGAAGATTCTCAAAGTAGCTCTACACCAGTCAAAAAGGTAAATTATTTAGTAGAAATTGATTTCTCCATCCCTGTGACACTCAAAGCAGCTGGCAAGCTCTTGCAGTAATCATTTGTCTTTGTGGTGACGAGAATGGTTGCACCCTCCTCCATGGCCGGAAGCGGGAAGAAATGGTCAGGGTCAACCTTTAGTTTGCTCTTGACACAGTCTTCACAGATACATTCTTCAACTGTGTACCCGAAGCTTCTCGGAAGAATGATTTCATCATGGGTCCTGGTATGGTCCACGTCAGCATTAACTGCTGCATCCAGAAGAACAGATTCTGATGATGCAGAAACAGAAACATTGACCTCAAGGGAAATAAAGTTTTCCTGGAGAGATTGTAGTCTTAGCAGGACGCATCAGAACTCAAAGCAGTGTGAGACGGAGGATACCTATGATCTGCACCAGGGCTAAAACATGGCTTGTTTGGAAATACGGTGCTTTTAAGTCCTCGTTTGTTTGCTTATGTTGACCAGATTTAAAAACCAGGAGATTTCACAAACAAATCTAGACTAATGGAATCTTTAAAAAGACAACAAAATGCAGCAACATAGAACCAATGTGGAATCTATTAATTGCAGTTACTGTGAGGCAGGCCATGGGCTCATAGGTTTGCAGTCACCACCTTGCCCAGTACGCGTTTTTTTGTCACCTACTTAGCCCTTGCAAGCATTAAGGTTTTGACCTTATCATATTCATAAAAATCGCAGAAATTACCATATATCACGGGGCACTAAAGTCAGCACATGAGTAATGTTTGAGAATATAAGAGTAAAGGTGCTTCTCTTGGGGAATATTTTGCAACAGATGAAAAAAATTTGAAATGAATCTCATATAATCACATAAGGAAGGAGTCTTCCACTGTGTCCCTGTCCCAGTTACACCCCTGTGAAAGTAAGTTTCCTACTTCCCAACATGCCGGTGTAACTTCATCTTCTAAAATGTCATACTTAGACTAACTCTAGAAATAGGCCAGGCACAAGAAGAAAAATACTATGTATACCTCGCTTATATGTGGGATCTAAAGAAGTTAAATAAATAGAAGCAGACAGAATGGTGATTCCAAGGGTGGGGGGAAATGGAGAGCTATTCGTCAAATACACATATTACAGATGTGTAGGATGAATAAATCTGGAGACTTCATGTGTGGTGTGATAAAGATTTTGAGTGCTCTCACCACCAAAAAGAAAAGGTAACAATGTGAGGAGATGGAAACGTTAATTTGCTTGACTATAGTAATCATTTCACTATGTATATGTATATCAAAACATGTTGTACACCTTAAGTACATGCAATTTTTGTATGCTGAAAAATTCATTCTCTACTTGTCTACCAGATGTCAGAGGGAAGAAAGAAAAATGAATAAATTATGTGGAACAGGCATCTACCTCTCCACAGCACTAGAAAGCACATGAGGTGGATGCTTTACAGATTATGCATGGAAAATAAGTGCATAAAGAAATGGGGCAATGGCTGCTTGCTTGTGCTTGAGAAGCAGATCACAGAAAAAGGTGCTGGAGAAATACGTTTATCTTAAGGGGTCCTCAGGCAGAATCTTTACTTCTCTGAGACTGGTTCTCTCCTACTTAATAAAGAATTTTTTTTGAAATGGTTCCTCAACTAATCTAGGAGCAGCTAGTTATTCATTTCTAGCATTTTTATTAGTAAAACATTCACCCAAGCAAGTAACACATTTGTATTAGCATGATTACAGACCTTGCCAAAATGCTTTCTCTTTAAAAAAAAAAAAAAAAAATGCTTTTTCTAATAGTAGCAGGTCTGATGAGCAATTTCTGATAGAAAAACATTTAATCAATGTGCTAACTTTAGTCACAGATGTTTTCCAAGGAAGGCTCTAATAGAGTAATTATCATGGGAAGAAGTGGGGGGAAAGGCTGACATTGTAAGGAGATCTGCAAATGTGTCAATGCAGAATGAAGAAAGCTTGCATTTAACACAACTGCCCCTAACACACTTGAAAGGGCTATAACTGAATAGTCAGTGTTAGAAAAGGAAATGAAACTCAAAATAGTCTCCTTTCGGAAACAGATTTCATAAAAGTCACCATCAAACCAACCTGTGTTTTTAAATTCATCCTTTAGTGGTTCGGAGCTCATCTTCCTTAACAAGAACATCAGTGCAAAAACTGCCAAAGAAACTATCAAGCTCAGGCCCAAGCAGGTCCAGAGAATGGCATTTGTTCCTTTCACTGAGTTGGCCATACCTTTATTAAAAGAATGTCAGAGAGATAATGAACTGACAGCGTAATATTCACATTAAATATGAACTGCTCACTATTCAATTCCCCTAATTCATCAGCATTGATTTTTAAATTCTAAATAACCATTAATTAGAAGAGCTGGTAAAAATATATGTCACCCACAGTGCTGAATAATTTGAGCTCAGTTCTGCATAATCACTTTGTTTTTGTACACATTTAGATCATTGCCTTGTTTCTGTTCTTTTGATTTCAGCAAATCTTACCATCTTTCCCTGTATTCACTGGCTGAATAGTCAACATAGAATATTTCACAGCAACGGACAGCAGTTGACACAGTCTTACTTACTTGCATTACAGTAACGCTGACAGGGCAGAGGAGGGGTATTGGAACACCGAAGGTGACACGGTTTGCAAGCACGCAGCAAGCTGTCAAAATATTCATTTTGGAAGCACTGCTGAGCCATCTGGAACTCGATCACAAAAAGAAAAATCAGAATGACAGAAAGAACAGCATGGAAGGACAAGTAAAATCTCAAGACTTCCCCAGCAAATGTAGTGACAGCAGCTAGAATGTTGAGGGGAAAAAAGAACTTCACATCACTCTGTTAGTTACGGGCACTGTCCGCACAGTGGCTAAGGATTTGAATACCACCTCTAATTCATGTTTCTCAGTTTAAGGCCGGGGTGGGGTAAGATGGGGTGTAAATATCAGGGTAAAGCATATCTGAAACAGAAACTGTTTATTTATAGATGAAACTTCCCAACCAGGTGACAGTTGCAAGATGTAGATAAGCCTAGGGCATTAAGCAGAAGGTTCAAAAACCATCCTGATCAACTGTTTATGTGATGGGCCCAGGAAAGAGACAAGACTAGGTCTGGGCCTCTCAAGCAGTTGAAATCTAGCAGAGAAGGTAGAAATAGATAACCATGAGGTAGAGTAGTAACTGGCAGAAGGTGAGAAGGAGAAAGGAATCATGATTATCAGGCTCTGAACCTAGAAAGAGTTGCAGCGCGGTGACAAGAACAGGGAAGTTAGGAGTAAAACCAAGATGGCTGAAGGGAAGATAGGTTTGGGAATTAAATTACTATTAAATGAGTCCATGATCCATTGTTGAAAATTCGGAAACTATAACGAGCAGAGAAAAAGAAAAACTACTCATGGTCCAAGCATCTACCAATATTCACTAAGCCTCCTGCCTTGGAGGGGGCGTGGTAGTGGTATTGGGGGCCAGTTAGGGACACCTCTATTCCTGAACCACAGTCCATTTAATTTTAATTTTGGGACAGGATCTTGGTAAGTTCCCGGGCTGGTCTCAAGCTTGTGATTCTTTTGCCTCAGCCTCTCTAGCAGCTGGGATTACAGGTATGTCCTATTATGCCTGGTGCCATGTATCCCAAAGGTTCCAAACAGGCTGGTGGTGTGTACCATTTGACCACCCCCGATACATATCCAGTTGGAATTTCTGAGTGAATGGATGAATGGACAGAAAGACATAGTACATTATCCTCCTTATGTTGGGGACCACAAGTTCACAATGGCCAATTTTGCATGCTTCCCTACGGGCTAAATGGAGACTTGGGATTATCGGTATCATCCTTTTGAGATTTCCCATTAACTCTTTAGGGCTGAGCTATGTTCTCCCACCCACTAAGACTAAACTAAAACCACCAGGATTAAACCACTCCATGGCAAGATCCTTCTTAGCATGAGATTATTTCCCCCTCTTGAGTCATCCGAGGATTATCCTTTGCCCACTGAGTCACTGACCTGAGTCTTCCTTGGACCTTGAATGCTCCACCAGCCTGACCACCCATTCCCTCCTTCATGTATTTGTCTCTGTTTCTTATTTCATCCTTTCACCATACCCCTCATACAGATAGTTGGGGATCTTGGCCAGGTCCTCGATATTGTTTTCTTAAGTGGAACCACTCGATTACTATAATACAAGATTGCTTTTTTTTTTTTTCTTTTGTCTTTTTGAGACAGGATCTCATTGTGCAGTTTAGGCTGCCCTTAAGCTCACTTTGTATCCCAGGCTAGCCTCAAACCCAAAACCATCCTCCTTCCTCAGCCTCCCAAGTGCAGGGATTACAGGTGTGTGCCACCACACCTGGCCTTTCAGGTTGCTTTTTTTTTTTTTTTTTTTTTTTGGGTTTTTCTCTGGTACCTCAGGTTGCTTTTAACCATATTAAATGAGACACTCATATAGAGAGATCCCACGATCAGTCAAAAATACAGAACTCACCAGGCACAAAGATGCATGCCTATAAGTCCAACTAATTGGGAAACTAAGAGGGAAGGATCATAAATTCAAGGCCAGCCTGAGTAATTAACCAAGAATCTATCTTGAGATTTTAAAAAGGGCTAGGGCTAGGTGTAGTCACACATGCATTAAAATGCAGAAATTGGGAGGCTGAAGAAGGAGGATCAGGAGTTTGAGGTCAACCTGGGCTGCATAGTGAAATCAAGGTCAGGGTAGACTACATAGTGAGACCCTGTCTCTAATTAATTAAAAGGGGTAGGGCTGCTTCAGTCCCCAGTACCCTCACCCTCCCTCATGTGCAGGTCACAGAGGACACAATTACAATGCAAGGAAACTGCGAACTACAAATTCAGTATAGTGATTTTCTCATGAGTTGATGGAGAGAAGAGGAGCACAAAAGAGGCTTCATTCTTCAGCACTGATTATATTTTATTAAACTGAATGGTGTTTCACATTTCTATTTTCCCTTCATTGCATTTTTCTTATTAAACCTTTTTATGTTTTGAAAACAGTAAGTAATAAATGTTCAACTGGTAATACAATAAATGGTAGTAAAATAAAATGTGGAAGTTAACACATTATTTTTTAAATGGAAGGTTTGAGCCTCCAGAAGAGTCTGAGCTAAGATATTGATGAAAATGTTGATTTCCTCCGGGGTCCAGGCAGCAAGGTGAGAGTGTGGGAAAACAAGCAGCTGAAGCAACTAGTCAGAGGCTTCTGCTCCCTCAGTACCTGCCAAATGGTGACCTTTGGAAGACAGGCCAGGGACACAGGGAAAGCATGATCGGAGATGCAGAAGAAGCACAAAGGTGATGTCCCATAACGACCAAGCCCGAAGACAGTTTCAGGATGGGAGTAGCAGTGAGCCAAGTTCTCCACAAAGAGCAGGGGTGACACTTGAAGGAAAGAGGTCATTGCTGGCCTTTGTATCGGTGGACAGAAACTAGACAGTGCTTATGTAAGGAGTGGTGAGGGAGAAGACAGCTAGTGTGAGGCATGTCTGGGAATCAGGAGGAAAATCAAAGAACAGAACCTTGATACCTCTTTGGAAAGAAAGCAGTTGCATCTGATATATACTTGCTGGCTTGCTTAAAGTCCCAGGTACCAGGATATGCAATGCAGTATCATGTGTATTCACAAAAGGCTGGAACAGCCTAACAGTCCATCACTAGGGTCCTCAGAATACTGCACACCCATCAAGAGAATGAGACAAGATGGGCATGGTGGTACACTCCTGTAATCCCAGCACTCTGGGAGGCTGAGGCAGGAGGATCACAAGTTTGAGTACAGCCTGGGCAATTCAGTGACTTAGTGAGACTTTGTCTCTTTTTTTTTTTTTTTTTTTTTTTTAAATATTAGTGAGACTTTGTCTCAAAATTTAAAAAAAAAAAAAAAGGCGGGGATGTAGCTCAGTGTAAAGGTCCTTAGTTCAATGCCCAGTAGTGAAAAATGGTAGGGGGTAATACTCATATGAAAAAGATATCAGTAAGTGAAAAATAGAAGGCACTGAACTGTGAATATAATATGCCTGGAAGTGTTTACAAACACAATAAGTAGGATCTGTACACAAGGATAAGCTAAAGCTTCCTCTGGAGAGGTACAAGAGGAGATGAATAAAGGCTATTGCCTCTGGCAAAAGACACCTAGAATCTATGAAATGTCTTTGGTACTATTTGAACAAATACTTTTAATAATTATTACTTTTAAGAAATCTTTTTTTTTTCCTTTGTCTTTTTGAGACAGAGTCTTATTATGCAGTTCAGGCTGGCCTTGAGCTCACTTCATAGTCCAGGCTGGCCTCAAACTCTCAGTGATCCTCCTGCCTCAGCCTCCTGAGTGCTGGGATTACAGGCGTGCACCACCATGCCCGGCAAAGAACTTTTTTTATTAGTACATGCTTGTGACACCTAATGAATACATTCATTGTGGAGAGTTGGTGCATACACACATCAATCTTAACTCTTTTTAGTTCCCCTTCCGCCTTCCCATTCACTCCATCCCTAGATCACCTTCCATCTGCAGAAAGTCTTCCTCCCTGTTTCCTATCATTGTCCTTTTATTTTGCATTTTAAATGATCTATACTTTGGGTTTCTCATATGAGAAGCCATGCAGTATTTAACCACCTGTGTCTGACTTATTTCACTTAGCATGAGGGTTTCACAGTGCATCCATTTTCCTACAAATGACTCAAGTTTATCCTAAAGAAGAATCATTTTCGTAAAGGGAGAGAATGTGGAGGATGGAGGAAAGCCAAGGGAGGTGCACATTTCCCTGCCACACTCCCTTGCTCTTCAGAGCAGGAGAGGCCAGCAGAGGCTGTTTCTAATCACCTGTAAGTGACATGAAGCAGCCCAGGACTGGCTCCATCCTCAGAGGGACAGGGGCAGGCCCCATTACCCAGCCTTTCGGATCTGCAGGGTGGGCTCCCAGGGGCCAGGCCATGGGGCCTCATCCTGCTTCATCTTTCCATGTAAGCACATTCTCACTTGTAATTTCAAATTTGAACAAAGAACCCTGGAGCGGCTGGCCCAGAGAAGATTGCAAAGGAAGCCAACTGAAGTTGCTGTGGTCCTTCCCCATCCCTGGAGGTGAGGTTTACGTGTGTCTGTAAGGATTCTTGTCTGGGAAGCTCCATCCCCAGTGTGGTGATTCTAAGAGGAAGTGGCACCTTTAAGAGGCGGAGCCTAGTGAGCGGTCATGGAGTCACTGGGGGCATGCCCTTGGAAGGGATTGAGGTGGTCCTGAAGGACACTGAGTTACTTCTCCCAAAAATGTGTTCTTGCAAGAGTAAGCTTGGCCGGGCATGGTGGTGCATGCCTATAATCCCAGCACTCGGGAGGCTGAGGCAGGAGGATCACTGAGAGTTTGAGACCAGCCTGGGCTACAAAGTGAGCTCAAGGCCAGCCTGAACTGCATAATGAGACCCTGTCTCAAAAAGACAACAACAACAACAACAAAAAAGTGAGCTTGGCTTCTCCTGCTCTCTGGCTTCCCATCTGAACATACCATCTCTCCCCTGACACATGCCATGCTCTTAGACTTCCAGAATTGTGAGCTATATAAACATCTTTTCTTTACAAAGTATGCAGCCTTGGGTATTGTGTTATAGCAGTAGAAACTGAATGAATACATTCAGGTTAGTTGTTCAGCTCAATCTGATTTTGTGGGGAAACCTTGTGATCCCTCCAATAAAAGCCCT